GATGCTGTAGATTAAAGCAGGTTCCATAGTTGAAAAGAAGCACTGTGGAAAGTGAAAACCCACTACTCTGTTCCGCTTATAGGCCAGGACTGGACAGCGACACAGGAGATGCTCAATTGTCTCCGTATCCTCCTCGTCAACACAGAGTCTGCAGTAATCAGTAACATCATGGTCCCACTTACAGGTAAAGGCCCTAATATGGCAATTACCCGTAATGCCTCCTGTCATTACCCTAATTTCAGCTTTGCTCAGATTCAACAGTAAGTTTGTTCTCTTGGTTGATAGAGTCGACCAGACAGATCTTGACACATTGCACCTAGGTTCGTTGTGTCAGACTTCATTGGCTCGTTTTTCAAAGGACGCCTCTTTGTTCCGAAAAAGGTGACATATGGGTGGGTTGATTGAGCCATCGATTGCTACATCTGTAGATTGAGATCCTCGTCTAGCTAATTCGTCTGTTTTTTTTTAATAACAGTGTCCTGGTATTCAACACAGCCTCGAGGAGGATCTCAGATTTGATGTTACAGGGTTTGATGGCTTTAAGAGCCGCCTGACTATCCACAAAAATAGTCACCGGTCCAACGATCTTTGCATCTAGATCAGTATGGGCCTAATCTCGGTATTTTACATCCAGTGTATAGTCGATTGTTTCAGTCCCCAACTTTTCCCAATGGAATTCTTGCATGCATAGAGTGCAATCTGCCCTCTCTTCGCCCGTTCGATAGCGTTCCTATTCCATCGGCCAGGATTGCGCCAAGGTATTTTGCTTTGGGCGATAAATGAAGCTGCACTACATCCAGTGTTGGTGGAGCAAAGACGCCGAGCTTACGTTTCAGTGTGAACATTACCAGTTCTGTCTTTTTATACCCTTCACCACACTGTGGTACAGGGTATTATGTCTTTGTGCATATGTTTGTAACAGGCAAAAGGAAACGAGATAGACACATGGTTCCTTTTGAGAATATGCATAGAATCACTTTCTGAGTCGATTTACGCATGTCCGTCCGTCCGTCCATGTATTTTGTGAACAAAGTACAGGTCGCATTTATGATCCGATTTGGATGAAATTTGGCATAGGTCACTTATTTGGCCCAAGGACGACCCTATTGAAATTGGGAAAAATCGGTTCAGATTTAAATATAGCTCCCATATGTATTTTCGTCTGATTTAAGGTAAATGGTGCACCAAAGCCATCATATATATCTCGATTTGCAAGAAATTTAACACAGCGTAATGACATAGGGCTAGAATGATGTGCGTTAAGTTTCCTGAAAATCGGTTCAGATTTAGATATAGCTCCCATATATATTTTCCGATTTAATGTAAATGGTCTACCAAAGTCTCTATATATCCTTCGATTTGCACGAAATTTGGCACAGCGTAATGAATTAATCTGTTTATTATACACAAAGTGGTGAAGGGTATCATATAGTCGCCCCCGTCCGACTTTACTTCTTTCTTTACTGGTTTGGATTTACACCAAGGCCGTTAGCCACCCACATTTGAATATATAATTCTGATTTTTAGCTTTTATATATCAAATATATAAGTACTGCTAACTGTTTGAAGAGAGTGGTTTACGGATTCAAGTTTAACGTTTTGATGGTTCCTTCTATATCAAAGAAGACGGCCAACGAAAAGTTCGAGTTTTCCATATTCCTCTCTCTATGGTATCCACATCTTTGTAACCTAGGAAATGGGTCTATGCTAGGAGGTTAAAAGTCTCAGAACCAGAGTCCGGATTTCGGATCTTTGGATAGTAATATTCGAAACCTAGCAGCGTCGTTGACTGCTTCTATCGACTCACAAAAATGTATACAAGATTTTTTCTTGGCACGCTTAATTTCAATCTGGTATTTGTTAACACTTGCTTTATAGGCGTTCCAGACAATATCGAGTTTTGATTTATGCGCCCTTTTGTACAGTCGTCTGGTCACTTACCTGACCACATTACTAGAAATCCGTAATGCCAAATTACATCTGCTTCTGAGGGATAATGCGGCAAAAACCTTCAACAAAACGAAATCATTACCGATCTTTTATACGATTAAAAGCATGGAAATGCCGAAATAAAATGAGAAAATGCGACTAAAAACTTCAAAATGTTGGCAATGGGGCGCTACGCTTATATAGGGCTATACCCAAACATGGGTCTATATTGATAATTTCCACATATATGTATGTCCAAACTGGAGCCACATCTGTGAGTAAATGCGATTAAAGCCTTAATAATACCGAAATTCGGTCGGTATTAAAAACTCGACCTTGTGGTGAAGGTATATAAACCCTACAAGTAATATGAGTGTGTGAAAGGTCCATTTCTGTGAGGTCTCTGTCGATTTTGCTACAGACAGACGAACATTCCTAAATCGACATAAAATTGTTTTGCATTGTTTTTGCAAACGGAGTAACAGATGTAATAAATATAGCTTGACCATCGCTTATATTTCATTTTAAATATTCTGACAAGCTATTATTTATCTCTTGGCAACAACACCCTTGTTACCCAATAAATCTTCTGAATACTCTTTAAATTACCAGCCAATATTTAAACGTTTTATAGCCGCATGCCCATAAACATTTGATGGCCCTACCACTTAACTATTTTATTAGGAAATATCCCATATTATTATCTCATAGCGTTGTCACCATCATCTCACCTTAGCATATTTGCTGATGTTGGTGACAGCATTTTTGAACAACATTATTTACTTTTAAGTAGTTAAGCGGATTGTCTTCAATCGTTTTTACTGACATTCGGCATTTGTTGTTATTATTTTGTTTTTCATGCTGTTGGACAATTTCAATAAGTTAAGTGTGCCGACAATCTTAACAACATTTCAATTATTGTGTGTGGTTAATAGGTATAAAGTTGACAAATGGTCTTCCTGGGATTTCACAAAAATAAATAAATAAAATAATAATAAAATAAATAAATATTTTTTTTATATATGTTTTATTTATTTTTGTTTTTGCAAAAAGTCAACCTATTAGATGTATGAGATTTGTGGGAATTTTTAATAACTTTCAGAATGTTTTTTTAGAACTTACATACTTGTATGTAGCCACAAATATTTTTTTATTTTTTACTTTCATTTTCAAAAGAATTGATTAAGTTTTCGTTTTTAATTAAGTTTATGTTGTAAGTGTATTATAGCTTTGTGTGGCCCCAAAAGTTTGTAATTCGGTGAAAAATCTAGGCATGTGTGTGTAATTTTTAAACACGATACAGACCAAAGTTATCATGATCAATTTTAAAGAAATTTTGCATGTAGAATGTGTTCTGGCTAAAGAAGGCCCCTATTGTTTTTAATAATGATCTGTTAATATTATTAGGTTGGGGGAAAATAAATCCATTAGGCCAGCCGTCGAAAATGTCGATAAAATCGGAGAAATTATCGAAGTTGACTGGCATGTTAGCAGTCGTAAAATCGCCCAGGAGCTAAAAATGTACCTTAAAACTGTTTTAAACCATTTACACAAAGCTGGATTTAAAAAAGAGCTCGATGTTTGGCTGCCACACCAATTAAAGAAAAAAAAAAAAATGGGATGGATCGGTTTTTTAAACAGATGGTGACTGTTGATGAGAAATGGATCTCAATCGATAAACCTCTGCGAAAACGATCGTGGTCAAAGAGCGGTGAAGCACCTCAAAATGTGGCCAAACCAGGACTAACGGCCAGGAATGTTATTCTAGGCATTTGGTGGGACTGGAAGGGGATTACTTATTATGAGTTGCTTCAATATGGCCAAACGCTAATTTCTGATCTCTACTGTCAACAACTGGACCGTTTGAAGATAGCAATTGACCAGAAACGGATAGAATTGGCTAACAGGAGAGTTGTCGTGTTCCACCAGAACAACGCTAGAACACACACATCTATAGTGACTCGCCAGAAACTTCGGGAGCTTGGTTGGGAAGTTTGAATGTATCCGCCATACAGTCCGGACTTGGCACCATGCGATTATCATATTTTTCTTGAAATTGCAAAATTTCTTTAATGGTAAAAAATTGGTATCTAGGGAGGATTTTTTTTTTTTTTTTTGAAAATAGACAGTAGGACTTCTATGAGAGAGGCATTATGAAGTTACCTTTAAAATGGCAACAAATCATACAAAAAAACGGTGCATATTTGGACATTCCGAGGCATGTTAAATAAAGTCCTATAATTCATATAAAAATAATGGATTTCTTTTTTCTCAGCCCAATATTTGGGAGATGAAATGAAAAAAACCTAATTTTTGTATGTCGCTCTAGTTGCTACAGAGGCCATAATTATGACCCGAGCATCACGAAATTTTACACTAGGGTGGAAATATGACCAAAGAATAAGCATTGATGTACTCGGATGTGTAAAGCCGTCTATGTGTTATAATATTGTTTAGTAATATTATTATTACCCTAATAGAGTGCTGAAATATCGCGCTGAACGCTTTGAAATTTTACATGAAGTTCCGGTTATGGTCAAAGAAGACGCCTACAATTGTCCGTGATGTTGAGATGATATTTAGTCAGATTTTCTAGTCGCTCAGAGGGTCAAATCAACCAAAACCTAAAGTGACCAAATTTTTATTTTAGGGCGAAAATATGCAACTCGGGAAAATAAAATTTGGAAAATATGCCAGAGCTAGAAAGTGGAGTTGTTGACATATAATCGGTCAAGAGGGTGCAGAAAGTTAAATTTTCGTTTTAGTTGTATAGGGTATCATATGGTCGGCCACGTCCGATTATACTGCTCCACTCAATGGTTATGGTTTACGATAATATATCCGTGGATCATTGATCCATTTATTCATATAGAGATAGATCATTATATATTTGGGCCTGGAAACTTAATTTCACATAAATATTATGGCCGGGCTATTATTCACAAATTAATATTTTTCGCGCTACCGCAATCAGCAACAAAAACACATAAATGTACTGATTTGCACAGCAAATACCGTTAAAATCGTTTACAAAAACATGCCGCTTATAATGACTGTATCTAAAGTCTTACCTTTATTTGATAACGTTTATAGCGATCAATTTCGCCGGTCCCTTGGCTGTCGTAAACCTTAAGCTTTGGATAATGAAAAGAAATCTTTAATCCTTTTTAAACATAAGAATCGACATTTTTATTATTTGTTTTTTTCTATATTTTCTAATTGGACTCAAACATATTTTTATAAAGGTTTTTCTCTAATTCGCATTTCAGCATACTTATACGAATAATAATAAGTGTTTTTCCAATGATACCAAGAAATTCCGAGTGTTTTTGCATCTGCCTCGCTTTTATATGGGCCAAATAGGTTACTGCAAAAAAATAAATAAATAAAAAATGTTACAAAAATGTAAAATAATAATAATTCGTCGCATACCTGTAAAAACAATTGTTATACCACCAGTTACCTTTATAAACATAGGCACAATTACCGTCATTTTTCTTGTCATTATCCTCATCAAAGGTAGTAAACTTCTGTCCTTTGCTGTATGCCATTGAATCACCAGCATTTCCCCTATAGTCGCCTAGTAACTTCAGTTCGTATTTTTCTGATTTATCAGCAATTCGAAAGCCATCATAGATGGCATAACGTTCTTCACCCTCCCAATCTTTTAAAATCACTTTTAATTCGACATCGGGAACAGTTGTCGTTAATTTATGCAATTTGTCTAGTCCAATGAAGAATTCGCCATTAGGTGGATTTCCAAAGCCTTTTACAAATTGACTCCAACTACGGTAAAAATTGACAGAACCATCCATTCGTCGGAGAATTGTTGTCCAATTTTGTAAAATCTCAACGTTATTTCTAGAATAAAAATCGATAAAAATTAGTTTTAAGAGAAGAAGTCGAAAACATATAGTCTATCAGCAAAAAAGTAAAAGAGGACCGAACCATCCACAATGCAAATTTTGAGTCAATTACTTGGATTTCTACATTTCTTAAATTTGGACCTAAGGAGGACACTCGGACTGACTGAACACCCAAAGGGCATTCGGATAAATGTAATCCAGAATATACAAGTCATGGGTTGAGGATGTACTTCGGTTGGTAAAAGCGACTAATAAAAGCTTACTAATTATAAATAGTTTCATACATACGTATAAGCTTCCTCCGAAGTGACATCCATTCTCGATACGTGCTCCAGTATTTTCTTAATATCCTTTTCTTGTTCGTGTTGCCTGAAAATAGAGAATGCCATTTTAGTTCCGTAGAAAATTTGAAGTCACTTAAAAGATTGAGGTATTATTTTTATCCATTGTACGGTGTATCTTTAATAACAATATCACTACCTTTTGTTCAATTCGTCAATTCTGAAATGAAAAAGAAAACGCAGTTATTTTAAATATTAAAACCTTTGCTTATTTTGAGTCGTAATAAAATATTTACACCCAGTGAGCGGGTGTAAATATTGTAAATAAATATTGTGTAGGGTATCATATGGTCGGACAGGGCCGACCATATGATACCATACACAATTACTACGAAAATCTAACATTATGCGGTTCTATATTCTGAGCATTGTAAAATTTCGCGATATGTTCACCCTCTACATCGATTATAGGTCAACAGCTCCACTTCCTAACCCTGACATATTTTGCAAATCTAGTTTTCCACTGTATTTAAAGTATACAAAGTATTTAAAAGTTTGATCTTCTGCATATAATAATGACTTCTAGAGCGACTAGGAAATCTCACAAAAATAAAGTTTTCGGTTCATTGCACCCCCAAAATATCATCTGAACATCCCCGACAACTGTAGGCGACTTCCTGGACCATAACCGGAACTTCAAGTGTAATTTCAAAGCGATCAGCGCGATATTTCCGCCCTCTATTGGGTTAATGGTAGTACTAAAAAATACCATGACACCTTTAAATATTTACGTATAACTCTCACATTCGAGTACATACAACAATATAATTGGTATCAATTTAAAGGCCAACCAATCCACTTGGATATACTATCACCTTTTCGGGTCTATGTCCATCAGAAGTAAATATTAGTTGGGAAAAGAAATACATTAGGAAAATGTCGATAAAATCGGAGAATTGATCGAAGTTGACCGGCATGTTAGCAGTCGTAACATCGCCCAGGAGCTAAAAATCGACCATAAAACTGTTATACACAAAGCTGGATTCAAGAAGAAGCTGTCCAAACGGAATGAGATAGACATATTTCTTAAACGGATGGTGACTGGAGATAAGAAATGGATCACATACGATAACCCCGGACCGTTTGAATATAGCAATTGACCACAAACGGCCAGAATTGGCCAACAGGAGAGTTGTCGTGTTCGACCAGAACCACGTTAGACCACACACATGTACAGTGACTCGCCAGAAACTTCGGGACCTTGGTTGGGAAGTTTTAGTGCATCCGCAATACAGTCCGGACTTGGCACCAAGCAATTATCATGTTTTTCTTGAAATTGCAAAATTTCTTTAATGATTAGCGATGTATATCTAGGGAGGACTGTGAATCGGTGCATATTTGTCCTAAATCAGACATTCCGAAGCATGTTAAATAAAGTCCTATAGGTCATATAAAAATAATGGATTTATTTTTCCCCAACCTAATATATACGCCCCAGAATAAAAATTTTGCAATTTTTCACACAAAAGTCAGGGCCCATTAGACCCGCTGAAAATGTAGATCGATTTTCATCAAAGCAGCCATGCTTATTACATGGTCAGACGTTTTTCTTTGTATAAAATTTTGTGATGTACGGGATGACGATCGGTATACTTAAATGTGGGTCTAGGATCAATATTTCCCGTTACAAACTCTTGGGGATACACAAAGCTATAATATCCTGACAACATAGTTGTATAGGGTATAAAATTTATCAAAAATTACCAAAACATCGAATATTTGGGTGTACAGTTGTATGGGGACAACCGAGAGAATAGATATATCCCATTTCCAATGCGTAACATTCTAGGAGTAATTTAAATGTATGTGCAAATTTCCAAACCTTTATCTTCAATTCAATCAAAAACATCAGATGGACGGAAAGACCTACATGGCTAATATATATACTTTGTATGAATATTGAATATTTCGATGGTTTGCAAACGGAATGAAAAATTTAGTATACCTTCCATGGTGGATAGTGTAAAAAGTAGGGCAACCGAGCTATAATTGTGTAGTGTATAAAAATTTCGAACAATTTCGTACATACCTCTCGTTCAAGGTGACATTCATTAACGACACTTCCTCCATTAGTTTTTTCATATCCTTTTCGTGCTCCTGTTGCCTGAAAATAAAGTATTAAACAAATAAATTTCCTTGATTTCTAAACCTATTAAATATTTAATATATATATATATAGTCTTTAAAGTTTAATACATACTCTGTACAGACCTCCTTCTTCGTAAGGGTGGCATTCATAGATGACATTTGCTCCAATAATATTTTCATATTATTTTCGTGTTCCTGTCGCCTGGAAATTTTGGAAAATAATAAATATATATATATGCTTTATAAGGGATTTTTAATTTAATTAGGAGACATGGATAAATATTTCGAAACAAAATAAATATAATTTTTTTATATTTTAAATTTTCTACCAGTTGGTAAATCCGCATATTTGTGTAGCCTTTACAATGGCTTATTGATCTCTACAATATGTTTCATACATACCCCTTCGTAACTTCTTCGATCAAGGTGACATTTACAGATGATATGTGATCCATTATTGTCTGCACTTTATTTTCATCTTCCGCTTCTTGTTCCTGTTGTCTGAAAATTAAATAACGAAAATTTTATATATACAGTGGTGGTCACGTAATTAGCTCATTATAAATTGATCTTTCCTTTAAGTGCATTTTTTCGATTTTTTGTTAATTTTTGTAAATATTTCTTGATCTCTAGTTATTAAATCAATTTCTGGCCCACTTTTTGAATTTTGCCAATTTTTGTTAATTTTTGCAATTTAAATAGATTTTGCCGATTTTTTTATTTTTTTCTTCTGAAAAAGACTTATTGGACTTAATTTGCTAACATGAAGTTATTTTTTGTATATGTTTTAAAATATCAACTGCATTTAATTTAACAACTCCAAGGTGCGCTAATTAGGTGTCCCTTGCAAAAGTTGGCTTTTTTCAGAAATACCGTTATATTTCATAAAATTCCATGATTATTTTCTATTTTCACACTTTATCGGTAGAGTACAATACACATAAGCGTTTTGAATAAAAAAAATATTAAAAATATTCCAAACGGATCGAGGGTTAATCAAAAAAATTTTCCCTTAATATGTGTACTAATTACGTGACCACCACTGTATATATGTATATATATATATATATGGAAGCTATAGTATGGTAATTTTTTATAAAATTATGTTCTGGTGGTATTATGAGGTTTGTATGGGCCCAAGAGATTGTATCGTCATGAAATATTAGTCCTGGACGAACTAACCGAATTGAACGACAATGTTTGTCCGTTCGTCTGCTTGTCCATTCAAATTTGTAAATACAGTACAGGCCCCACTTATGGGCCAATCGTCACGAAATTTTGCCAATAGATTCGGTTATTTCATATAGATAGCAATAAACCAATTGCTATTATACCCTTCACCCCTCTGTGGTATTATGTCTTTGTGCATATATATTTGTAACTGGTAAAAGGAAACGAGGTAGACACATGGTTTCTTTTAGCAATGCATTAAATCAATTTCTGTGTCGATTTGTGCACGTCCGTTCGCATATCCGTCTGACCGTACACGTGGCATTTATGATCCGAATTGGATGAAATTTGGCACATCTCATTTATTTAGCCCAAGGACGAACCCTATTGAAAATTTTCTAGAGGAAGATTTGCTACCCAATAAAAACCTAAACTACCAAATACCGAATATTTTGGGGTAATGTTACATAAGGGACCAATATATTCCAATTTCAATTCCAAACGTCCTAGGAGTAGTAGCAATGTGTGTACAAAATTGCTAAAAGACAGACATGGGTAAATCAACATCAAATATTATTCTTATAAAGAATATAAACATTATGGATCTCCGGCGAATATTTCGTAGTATTACAAACAGAATGACAAATTTAATATAAACTTTTGAAAAAATCTATGATTTTTAATAACATTTTTTCCCACACTATTACGTCTCTAAACTTTGGTCTCTACAAAATAATTTTATACATACCCCTCGTCCAAGTTGACACCAATTAACGACACGTGTTCATGTCCCTGTTGCCTGAAAATTAAAATTGAAGATTAACATGTTTTTATCGTAATTTTTTAGGGGTTATAATAGTTCGATCTCAACCCCCATTTTTAGGTGCTAAGAAAAATGTTCATGCGAACCCTACCTTTTGTCTAAATCATCAATTCTGAAATTAAAAAGGGGTAATAACATTAACATATATCAAAAATCATTTACACAATTTTTAGTTCGTTTCCAAATACTTACTTATTGTTCACATTCAACAGATTGGTGTTTAGTCTATTCACTTCGCTGTTCATTTTATTCGTTTCACTGCTTATTTTCTCCGCCTCATCTAATAATACATTCACTTTAAAAAATAAACTTTTCCACAGGTTCAATTGATGTTCATCTTCATTAGGATCCTAAATTTAAAATAGAAAAAAAATAATTATTTCAAATATTTATTTTTCCATTTTTAATATACATAGCATTCTTCAGATATGTTGGGGGTAGGAATTGTGGTGGTGGTGGTGTTGTCGGGAGTGGTACAGGGTGTACAATGTTGTACGATGTTGTCGTCTGCATTATTGCTGATTATTATTTGTAATATTATTAGTATTAATAAGGAAATTATTTTCATTTCTATTGTTCTGTCACTATCGACGTTCCGATGCAAACTGGCGATTAGTGGTAATGCGAAATTTACACGTTAGCGTTCTTATCAATTTCCACAAAAATCCAAGCTTTTATTTTAATAATACACTGTGGCAAAGGGCATTTTTTACCCACCACCACATAGTAAAGTATACACAGAGAAAATTGTTATTGAATATTTTCATAGTTTCATTCATAGTTAATGTTTTCTACATTCAACATGTGAATACCAATAACAATTTGTATAGTCCCACGAGTGCCACTATTTTCCCAAAAAAATGTAAACATTTCATTAATATCACAACTATTTTTGTAATTCGTTCTACTTTACCAAGATTTGCGCTTATTTTTTCTCTCTCTTTTTGGCAAAAAGAAAATGTATTCCACCCAAGAAAAAACACCACGACAACCACCATCCATTCTTCAACCCTTTATTTGACCACTGTTTCTTTTGCTAACAACCGCTGAGTTTGCACTCACTCGATTGTGACTAGTTCTGCATTCCATTGTTTGTTTCTTTCAGACAATGATGCAGACGGCTGAATTGGTGTTATGAAATTCGCATATACATTTTCCAAATTATTTCGATATAAATGCTAAATGCAATATAAGAAAAATGTGTTGATACGAACAACAAGCCCAAACCGAATGTTCAATGTTGCATATATAATGTTCTGCGTCATTATATATACAACGTTGAACATGAACATGGAAGCAAATAAGAAGAAAAGAGGCAATACATAACAAAGAAGAAGAAAACATAAAATCAAATAGAAATATTGAAACAACAACGATTTTCTGTATCATAGAAACCCGCCAACACCGCCAAACACACACCCAAAGTTATTTTCTCTCTCTCTCTCTGCCAAGAAAAAATTAGATAAAGATTTATGAATTGCATTCATAAAATGCAGAAATCCTGACATTGGGCACACTTTCTGAACAATATTCATATAATATACGAATTATTTTTTCTGTGAATATTAAATTTGTCATTCCGTTTGCTACATTTCCGAAATTTTCACCGGAGATCCCATAAAGTATGTTTATTTTTGATCAGAATATAATTCTATGACGATGTAGACTGTCTGTTAAAATCAAATTTTTACACACACATTTTATCGATCGAACCCTTAATATTCGGTATTTTGAAGCTTTTAGGAATATTATCACTTTTTAGAGTAGCCCCGTATAATTGCTACGACACTGGCATACTGGATGTACCGTTATATGAGAGCTACCCTAAAATTTTTGTCACGATTATTAATTTTTAGTACGAACATGTGTTATTCAATGAGAATAAAAAATACAGTTCGGTTGGAAAACATATCCAAAATCCCTAGAATAAAGAATACTGGGGGAACCGTTATATGGGTGCTACCTTGAAACTTGTTCCAACATTAATACTTTTTGGTATGGATATGTGCCAAAAATACCAAATTTCAGCTAATTCGGTTGGAAAACCTGTCCAAAATACCGAGTATTGGGGAGTACTGTTATATGGGGGCTACCCTGAAACTTGGGTCAATGTTAATAATTTTTTTTTGACGGATATGTGCCATTCAGTGAAAACCTAAAATAACAAATTATGGTCCACCAAAACATGGGCCGATATATTCGATTGCCAAACATCCTGGGAGTAATAGCAATGTATGTGCAAAATTTGAGAGCTCTATATATAAAATTGCGATCTCTATCATGACTTCAACAGACAGACGGACATGCGTAAATCGTCATAGAATTTTATTGTGATCAAGAATATATAGTTTGTGGGGTCACTCCACCTTATGGTGAGGGTATAAACAACTTTTGCTTCATTCTATAATCACTATATATTATATATTCAGTGATTATAGTATTTAAATGATAATATTAACCGGTTTTGAGTAGAAAGATGAATGAGTTTGTTTATTTAGTTTTGTTATCGTTAATTTACATTGTTCTCATTGTGAAGCCCTACTGGATTTTATTTTAATCAAGAAATATCTTTAGAAATTTATCAATGTGATCAAAAAAGTACTATTTAGCATAGATAGAATATTTTATTATTTATGTATTCCACCCTGCTGAATAAAACTTGTTCAAAAATTAAAAATAAATTCTTATCAGTTTATTGCATATTTTATTGATTTGTCAAAACGCAATATTAGAACAATAGAAACTATTTTTATGAATTGATTATGGCGTGTCACATCTTATTATTATTGTTATTTTATGAATTCCATAGAGGATTTAATTTCTAATTTATTTCGCAATATAACGAATTGTTTATCTCGGACCCCATATTCATTCATATCTATTCTACGTGCATTAAACATTGAGATTTTATATCTCTAATAAGATATTTGGGATTGGTACGAAATTTGGTAATTGAGAAAAGTTTTAAATATTTTGAAGGTTATCCCATATGGCTTTGTCAATTAGAAGATTCCTCTTAATCTGGAACACATACTCAGTTCTATCCATTCATACACTCAGCCATGAGGTGTATAAAATTCTGTTTGCAACAGTACAAAATGATCGTCTGATATATTTCCGATCAGAATAAAATTAGATTTCGAATTTTTAGCTTTTCTGCAGAAATAACGATAGAGATCACAATATTGCAAACTGGAAATATCAGTTCTCGTTTTCGTATTGCCTCCATATATTTTGGAATTTTGGAAATGTTGGGCACGTTTTTCAATCGAATTAAATTTAAATTATATTGGTGTATGTCCTCGGATGAGAGAGTTATACGTTAATATAGACAGTGGTCTACATATTCTGATATTGATTAGTATTAGTATTATTAGTATACCACCCAAGAGGGCGGATATGTAGTGCTGATGGTATGAGGTTCCGGTTATTGGTCATATTTTGTGAATGAAAACATTTTATTCTATGGCGTATATATTTACTCCTGAAAGGCATAAACCCGAGAAGTTGATAGTAAATTGAAATTGATATCAATTAATGTATGTCCTCGGATGTGGGAGTTAAACGTATAGTATGTATTTTTGTGAACAAAGCACAGGTCGCATTTATGATCCAAATTGAAATTTGACACGTCTTACTTAATTGGCCCAAGGACGAAACCTATTTAAATTGGGAAAAATCGGTTCAGATTTAGATATAGCTCCGATTTTATGTAAACGGAACAACAAATAAACAAATTTAGGCCGATTGGTACAAAATTTTGTACGGCGTACTGACTTAAGTTCAAATTTATATATGTTGACAACCGTGAAATTTTGTTGAAATATGTTCAGATTTAGATATAGCTCCCATATAAATTTTCGTCCGATTTTATGTAAATGGCGCACCGAGGAGTCTTTTTTTGTTCTATATACACGAAATTTAGTAGCGAGAATGGAATTTAGTCTAGTTTGTTAAGTTTGAAATCGGTTCCGATTTAAATATAGCTCACATATATACTTAAGTCCCATTTTATGTAAATTGTGCACGATAGATCCTGTTCTATTTGCACGATCTTTTGTCGTTGAAATAGATTCAGATTTAGATATAGCTCCCTCATATATTTGTGTCCGATTTTATGCAAATGGAGGGGCGTATGGATCGATGTTTTTTATTGTCTATTGTCTAAAGGATATTGTACATATGAGCATCTCTTGTATGTACCCAAAGGTGAAGTGTATCATATAGTCGTCCCTTTCCGACCTATTTACATTCCTTACTGGCTTAGTATGATTATGTTCCTAGCCCATTCTGAGTGTTTGTAGTTTGGTATTTCGTTTTCTCCTGTAAGCCCCCATCGATATGACCTCTGGATAAATCTGCTCGAAGCAAATCCACACAAATTAATCCACATGTAATAATCGGAATGCATCACATGAGTACCATATGTAATTGACTCTCACTTTAAATCCCAGTACGAATTATTCAGAATTGGATTGAGTTTTAACGAACTTCAGAAGGTGACAATCTCATCGCGTTTACGGTTCCATTTAAGTTGAATATCTAAACTTAAATGGAGCCGAATCTGAAAAGACTTATTGCTGTAATGACATATTTTAAAATTTTATCATAAAGCTTCAAATTATTAACATTTTTATAAATTTCAAAAACCCCCTTTTTTAAATATTTTAAATTTTAAGAAAAAACACAAATATGCATATTAAACAAATGGCACAATTCTAAGCTAATTAAGATCGTTTAAATCAAAATGTTAATTTGAAACTTTCACCTATTGTCAAATCTTTTAGTTCCTAGTTCTGCGCTATTTTATTAGTCTTATTTATGCTAATATTCTTTTCGATCTCGCTTACGACGCTACATTACGTCATTTTGGTGTAAATGAAAAATCTCTTGTGGTTATTTTTGTAATATATTTTCATAATGATTATAAATGACAGACATATTGGCCTTTTCAAGCCAACAGATTACGTATTAATATTTTTACAAATTGATTTACGACCGAAAAAGAGTTTTTGTTCTTAAAACGTGACTAGTTTTTGGTGGAGTATTTTTTTTGTTTTTTGTCGTTAATAACATTAAAAATACATTAGATTTGTTTATGCATATTTTGATAATGATGTGGTGTCTTTTTTAAAATTTTGGCAACACATCTTAATAATATAAGCTTTCATCTCGTTTGTTGAAAACAATTTGTTTTCAATAGACACCCTATCATATGATGAAGGGTATATTAATTTGTGTATATTGTATGTGACAAATTTGATATATTATTTAGATGTTGGGGACGAATTTCGGTTAAAATAATACTAACATTTTAGATGTTCAACATAACAGTTCAATAAGAACAACTAAAAATTCTCGGAATATATCGATATTATTTAGAGACTTTGGACAGGGCGAGATGTACCAACTTGGATACGTGTGCCCGTCCTTATGTCTATTATGTACCATCTAGATGTAGTCTATATACTGGCACGACACAGGAGGATTTTCAGGCAATCCAAACGAATGATCTTTTGAACGGTTAGGTCAAATTTTCACGAGGTCAAATAAACCGTATTTGTTCAGAAATTAAATTGAATACTATGGATACTGGTGCCTGGAGAAAAGTGTAAGGAATTACTGTATCGGACCCCTTCATATTTTCTCAACTTGGATATTCAAAATATATCTTTGCTCATGTTAAGGAGAAGCCAGAAGGAGAGCACCGATATCAATGAACTTGATTTACAATTGTTGTAAACCAAAATGTTGTAATACAACAATGTTTAATGGGGATTTTCCCTAAAATCTCAAAACCCGCAATTGTGGTCCAATAATGCAATTTATCGATCAACGTTAGATATGGGATAGAAAGCATCGAACATTTGGTGTTATAATTATACGATGGGCTATGCCTAATTGAGGACCGATTTAACTCAATTTCGAACATGACATTTTCATTTTGCCTCACAATACCTTCCTTCATCCTAAATATGAAATAGGTAGGTATTTTTGTATAGGGACTAGGCAACAGATGGCTAAATCCACTAAATCGTCCAATTTCGAGTACAGAATATCCTACATATGGTGGGATACGGCTGTATGTAGACAACTCCAAAACAAATAACAAATAAGTTAACTATTTTGAAAGAAGGCGGAGAGGAAAGTAGTATAGTCAGACTGCATATGCTCTACATATGAATCCTAACATGCAATCGGAACCGATGTCAACGAAACTTGCCAGAGATTTATATCAACTTCAGTACGCTTTGCAAAACGTTGTGTCAATCTGGCTAGCTTTGGGTCTTTAGTGCACCATTTACTTAAAATCGGTCGAAAATATATGGGAGCTATATCTTAATCTTAACCGATTTTCACGAAACTTACCACACTTCATTCTAGACTTAATTCAGTGCGATATTCAAAATTTCATGCAAATCGAAAGAAATATAGGGACTTTGGTGGAGCATTTACATTAAACCGGATGAAAATATATATGGGGGATACATCTAAATCAGAACCTATTTCAACGAAACTTAGCACACATCATTTTAGGCTCAATTCAGTACGCTATGCCAAATGTTGGGCAAATCTAAAGATATATAAGGACTTTGATGCACGATTTACATAGCTATATCTAAATCTGAAAAGATTTTCACCAATTTCAATTGAGCTCATCCTTGTGTCAAGTAAATGAGCATGCATAAATCGACGCAGAAAATGATTCTGTGAATATTCTCTAGAGTTGGGTAGTTGTGGAACGAACTAGTTCGTTTCGAGAAAGAAACGATCGGAACTAGTTCCAGCTCTTTAATTAATATAGTTCATTTTTCTGATCTCTTTGGATCAAAGGAACTATATAGAAAAAACGAAAAAAGAACGATGAAAAGAGAGATTCAAAGGAACTATGTAGGATTCGGAACTGTATGGAGCAAAGGAACTAGAAAAGGAACGAGAAAGATCGATCCGCTAAGTGAACTAGATTGCCCAACCATGGGAGCCATGGATCTATCTTGTTTCCTTTTGCATTTTACAAACATATGCATATGTATGCATATATGGGGTCTGATTTGGTTGAAAGGCGCGCTCAAGAACCCAAAAAATACCAAAACTTAGTGGATGTCGTTATATGGGGGCTAGCACAAAAAGTTTACAAATGTTTATAATTTAAGTGGTAGTATTTGGTAGCCAATAAGACCATATTATACCAAATTTCAGCGAATTCGTCTGAAAGCGCACTCAAGAACCCCAAAATATCGAAAATTAGGGGGTTACCCCCATATATTTGGGGCCGAAATAGCTCATCTTCGAACTTGACCTATCTGCATACAAAATACAACTCTGTGCTAATTTTTGGATCTATCACAATTCATTTGGAGCCTAGAGTGATTACAACAGAGAGACGGACATCTGATCGAGAGTATATATTCTATAGAGGGTCGTAAATGATTTTTTTCGATGAGTTACAAACGGAAAAAACAGACTTAATATTCCCTCTATACTATGGTGGTGGTTATAAAATTGAAGATACTACGAATTCTAATAAAAGTCTGATGAAAAAAGGCTTAATTGAAATATTTTCAATATTAGTTAGAAGGAAGTCAATATTCTCAAAATCAAATTATGACTGCTAATAAAGAAATTTTTTGAATCGTTAGTAAATGAAAAAATTGTCTGTGCCACAGGTTTTACTATAGGGTATCATAAAATTAATCCAAATCACACACGCAGTCAATGAACTCAATTCTAATGCTGCTAAAAGAAACTAGTCTAACCACGCCACGGGTGTTTGGTGGCAGTTTGGTAACATCACAGAGTTTATGCTGTCAGCGAGAAAAAACAAATGAAGTTTCATTAATGAGTTCTAAATCTTCGAATAGAATAGGCTTTCGGCTAATATTCTTAATTAATATCGATATAAATATTTATTTTCTGTTTTTTATTTTTAGTTATTTTTTATTTTGGCTACCGATTTCTGTTTTTTTGGTTTGATTTTACAAATAGCTGCTGTTTGTTTATTTATTTCGATATGGAGATGCTGCTTGTATGGATGCCGCAGCTGAATTCTAATGCTAATTCCGTGTATGATTTAAAGCTTAGTTTGTTACGGTTTGATTCTGATTCTCTCTGTTGAAGTTTCTGTTCTGTCCAGAATGGTATATAAATACATAAGTCTGGTGACATCAACAATGCCAGTACGGGATTAATAGTCTTGGGATAAGCATCTGAAACATCTTGGAAATATGGTAAGCTATTTCGTGTAAAAATTTGAAATCGTGAAGGATTATAACAAAACTCTTATATCGAAGTGGAACTCAACATAAGCATTAAATATTTCACATTTTTTGAGTCTGTGTTATTTTTAAAATTTTTTATTAACGAACAAAATATCAATGCCGTACCTAAGTGCATCTATCTTTTAAAAATATTCTAACAATTAAATTTCTTTTATTTTCAGAAATTCGCTATTGTTGCCTTGGCCCTTTTGGGTGTTGCTGCCGCCGATGTCAGCCATTTGAATAACGAATACCTGCCACCTCATATGGCTGCTTTGGCCCACAAACATGTTGAATATGCTGAACAAAGTCAGGAAATCCCTAAACTCACCACAGTTCACCATGTCACTGAAACCAAATATGTCAATAAACCAATTCAAGTTCAAAAAGTGAAGCAAGTTTCAGTCTCTGTACACAACGAAGTTAAAGTACCTGAACAACAGGAACATCACCAACAATACTATACCGGTTTGGTCTACAAACCCGAACAGGAAGAAGCCACCTCCACCACTGTCGTTGAAGAAACTCACCAAGAAGAACCCCAACAACAGTATTACACCGGTTTGGTCCACAAACCCGAAGAGGAAGAAGCTACCTCCACCACTGTCGTTGAAGAAACTCACCAAGAAGAACCCCAACAACAATATTACACCGGTTTGGTCTATAAACCCGAACATGTAACAGTCACCCCTGTTGATGAAGAAACCCACCAACAGGAAGCTGAACAACAATACTATACCGGATTGGTCTACAAACCCGAACAGGAAGAAGTTACCTCCAACAGTGTTGTCGAAGAAGTCCAACAAGAACCCGAAGTTGAACAACAACAATACTATACAGGTGCTATTGTAAATGAAGCTGTTCACGAATCGGAACATCAACAAGAAGAAGCCGCTGTTATTCCTGAACCAGTTGCTCCCGTTGTTCCCGGTTCTGATGATTTCACCCAACAACAAGCTACTTACTACACCACTATCAGCCAGAAGCAAGAAGTTGCCCAAGCTCAAGTTGTTCCCGTTTCTGATTACTTCACTCAACAACAAGCTGCCTACCACACCTCGGTGGGACACAAAGGTGCCAGCGTGAGTGTAGGTGCTTCCACCATCAGCCAAAAACAAAAAGTTGCCCAAGCTCAAGTTGTTCCCGGTTCTGGTTATTTCACTCAACAACAAGCTGCCTACCACACCTCGGTGGGACACAAAGGTGCCAGCGTGAGTGCAAGTGCTTCCAGCGGTATTGATACTCAATACGGTTCCAATGGAGGCTATATTTATTAGATTTAGCAACAAGTTAGACGATAATAAGATTATGTTAAGGTAGAAAATACAAAAGAAAAAAAAAAATAAATAAATAAAATAAAAAGAAACGATTTAAAAAGTTTTGTAAAAAATATATATACTAATTCGAAATGTGGGTTATATCGGATTCGATATTTAAAGATTTGGTGGAAGATGTTTTGCTCCCTTTTAGCTAATCGGTTCAGATTTAAATATGATTAGTTTGGAATATATGTTTTGATGATGAGTACCGAGTCAAATGATGTGTATGCTCGAATATGGTAGTTATATTATAAGACCTTCCAATAGGAGGTGCTATTTCCGTATTCAAAGAAAAATTAATACAAAACGGACATTTATTTTATAATAAGAGGAAGAAATGCAGTTCATAATGAACCACAATATCAGACAAATAGCCAACATGAGCAAAACCACAAGATCATATATCAAAACATAAAACAGTAAGAAAAGTAGTAAAGTCGGACTGGACCGACTATAAGATTACCTCACCACTTTGGGTATATTCTACAAATGTAACCTAGCAGACGAACTTAATATGCTATCGGACTTAAATATGTGATCTTTATCTATATGTTAACCGACTAATATCGATCCATACATATGTCATTCTGCAACCTATGCAATTCTGCAAAGCAGATTTAGAGTCGTTTGCGTACAATGGAAGAAATTTATTTAAATCGATTTAAAGCAAACTTTATACACGCTATTCGGTGTATCGCACTGTTCAAAATTTAATCTCAATCAGACACCCGTTCGAAATATATATGGAATCTATGGCAGCATCTGCACCAATTTCAACAAAACCCACTAACGTCATTCAAGTCTTAATTTGATACGCTGTGCAACATTTCGCAGGGACGTTGGTGCACCATCTACATTAAATCGGACGAAAATATATATGGGAGCTATATCTAAATCTGAACCGATTTTCGGGAAACTTAACACACATCATTCCAGACTTAATTAATTACGCTGTGCAAAATTTCGTGCAAATCGAAAGATATATAGGGACTTCGGTGCACCATTTACATTAAATCAGACGAAAATATGTATGGGAGATATATCTAAATATGAACCAATTTTCACGAAAGTTAACACACATAATTCCAGACTTAATTAATTACGCTGTGTCAAATTTCGTGCAAATCGAATGATATATGGGGACTTTGGCGGACCATTTAAATTAAATCGCACGAAAATATAAAAGGGAATCATATTTAAATCTGAACCAATTTCAATAGGGTTCGTCCTTGGCCCTCCCAATTAAATGGGCTATTGCCATGTTCTGACGGGCATTCGAACAACGTAGTTCGCTCTCAGAATTACGTACATGAATTAACCCGTTCATACAACACTATTCTTAATTCATGTCATCAGGGTTCTTTTATTTCAAACTTTTTGTTTCTTGTTTTACACCAAAATTGTAATATATTTGCATGAAACGCATATGGATCTAAATAGAAAAAATAATTCTCTTTCTCCTGACTATAATATCAACCCCTATTTCTTTACTTTTAATTCATGTTTTCCATTTTTTCTGAAAATATTGTTGTTTTTAATACATTTTTATATTTTCTCAACTCAAATGTCACATTTAAAAAATTGGAGAATTTTTGTTTGGGTTTCCCCACTTTTGTTTTT